CATTCCCCTAAATAGTTAAAACACGTGCAGGTTTATTTTTGCAAAATTAAAGACATTTAAACCGCGCACTGATGCAAAAAACTGCACAATTGGTGCGTGAAAAAAATCAAGTGTTTGAAGCTATACATTTTCTGGTGGAGGACGCCTGAACCCAACGTGACATATGTGCCCCCCCACCCCCCAATATTGAAACCAAACCTGCACCCTTGGTGAATAACATCTGCATCCTGTGCAGTTTTCAAAGTCATATTCACATCATCAGTTTTAAGATAAAACACGTTGTGTTCAGCACTGATTTTGTCAAGTTGAGTCTAAAATCATTGAATGTGTGACTCCAGTCCTCTGGTATACACACACACACACACACACACACACACACACACACGTTAGATTTGGGTCGATATAGCACCAGAGTTTGTGTTATTTTTATATGACTTTGAGGTTGTTTCAAAACACGGCATGGTTGCAAACGTCAGCTCTTTATGAACTTACATGTCTCTATTTGTTAATGTTAATTATTAATAACATAGGTGTAGAAATTTGGGGGGGACACAGGGGACATGTCAACCTTAATAGCTGGAACATGTCTATTTGCCCCCCAATAAAAACATGAACAGGACTTTTGACAAAATCAAAGACATTTAAATCACGCACTGATGCAAAAAATAGCCCAATTGGTGCATAAAAAATAAAGTGTTTGATGCTCTAAATTTGCTGGCGGAGGACCTCCAAACCCTCCGTTTAATATGTGCCGCCCACCCCCCAGTATTTATTAAAACTAACCCTACGAGCTTGGTTAATAATATGTGCATCCTGGGCAGTTTTGAACATCATAGGGACTCATTTTATACAACCAACAATAGATTTGTGAGAGTTTTAAGATTAAACTTGTGTTCAACACTGATTTTGTCAAGTCGAGTCTAAAGTCATCGAAGTTGTAACTCCAGTCCACACCTCTGGTGTATACTCATTAAATTTGGGTCAGTACAGCGCCAGAGTTTGTGTTATATTTATATCACTTTTAGTCAATTTATCCAGACTAAAATAAGGCATGGTGGCAAACTGTTAAAACCTTCTCCAGCTCTTCATAAACTTACATGTCTCTATTTGTTACTGATAATATAGTATAATAATACAGGTATAAAAATCTGAGGGGTGGCTCAGGGGACACGTTCCCGTCAAATATTTGAACATGTGCATTTGTCCCCCAGTAAAACAAAAATTAAAGACATTTAAACTCTGCATTAATGTAAAAAATAACACAACTGGTGCATGACGCTCAAAATGTTCTGGCGCCTGAGGCCAACGTGTCATATATGCCACAAGTGACACAAGTCTGACTCCAGTCCAGTTTACATCACTTTTAGTTTCTTTACCAAAACTGTTATGATCTTGTCTCGCTCTTTATGAACGTACATGTCAATGTTTGTTCAAATTTGGCGGGGACGCAGTGGATATGACAGTAGCAGAGGACTTTTGATAGAATTCATGACATTTAAAACCACACACTGATGCGGAAAAGCACAAATTGGTGCATAAAAAATGCAGGAAAATAAATATTTGACATGCAAACCCTCCATCTGACACGTGTCCCCCTCAGAATTAAAACCAAACCTACGCCCTTGGTTAATAATGTGTATCCAGTGCAGGTCTTTTGTACAACTAGCAATAAATTTGTGAAGTTTTAAGATCAACCTTGTTTAGTTCAACACTGATTTTGTCTAAAGTCATTAAACTTGTGACTGGACTCCTCCCCTCTGATGGTGACACGTCCTGTTTATGTGTATAATTGTCCATATTCTGACTTGTTGCCTGCTGTATGGATCACAAACGAGGCTTTCCACTGTCCCAGCTGTTCCTGAGTTACAACCTGCTGCATCTGTAGATTTCCAATCAGATAAGCTCTAACAGCAGAAGAGCTGCGGTGCATGATACGAATCTGATGTCGGCTCAGTTTGACCACAGCTCCTGCCGCACTGTTTAAGATTAGCAGCACAAATATTAGACATTTGGTTCTGACAGAGAAAAAAGGAAAACCTCAGAACAGATTGACTTAGATGAGAAAGGGGCTCTCGTGTGTGTGAGATCCTCTGAATGGAGCACAGAAAAGAGGAATCAATGAGGAAAGTGTGCTCTTCTCTCAGGAGTGGGCAGCTTCAACAGCTCGCCATCAGGTAACAATCTTTTTATTTGTCTCAGCCCCTCGCTGGGTGCCAAAGTCTGCTGAAGGACTAGGCGTGCGGTGTGATCCATCAGCCCCGTCCAAGAGCTTCAGCGCAGTAATCCATCTAAAGCAGCCTCAGAATAGAATTAAATAAATACTCCCATGCTCTGAAACCTAGAATTATTTAACTACTGTCACTCTCAGTGTGGAGCAGCACCGTGTCGACTCAAATGAGAAAGGAAAGGAGAAAATAAATCAGATCATCTGAATTAGTGGCGCGGAGGAATGGGCGGAAAGTTTGAGGAGAGATTTAGTAAATGGTATGATTTATCCTGCCTGTGTCTCCAGGTGGAATCACACACATAAAGATTATCTTGTTTATTTTAGGTTTAGATGAGAGATTAGGGTTTGATTTAATCAGGCTGAGTTTGAGTCAGCTGCATATTTAGACTCCAGCCTGTAAATGGAAAAAGGAGGAAAAATTAAGTCAGAGCAGAGGTGTTGATTTCAGGGGGAGGCAGGAGACACGACCAACTCCACATTAACAACATGTTGGTGAATTAAGTCATCCAGGTCATGGTAATCTCATAGGCAACTCAAGCAGGCCCAGTTGCCTGCGATATAGCATTTAAAACAAAATTCAGAAGATGTGCATTTGTGCCCCCAAAGTTAAACTTTCACTCAGACAAAATTAAACCCATTTCCACCATAAACTGGTGCAGAAAAATTTAGCGGACTGCAGGAAATTAAGTGTTTGACGCTCACAATTTTCTCATGGAGGACCCCCCCACAACCCACCCTTTCATCTGTGTCCCCCCGGTGCTGAAACTAAACCTACGCCCCTGAGTCAGACTGGTTTTATTCCTCTGCACAATTCCAGCGAATAGGAGATGCAGGAGACACGTCCAGCTCAACATTTACACCATGTTGGTGACGATTCGCAGTCATCCAGGTCATGATGATCTTATATTGTAGGCAACTCAAGCACGTCCAGTCACCTACGATACAGTGCTTAAAACAAAATTTAGAAGATGTGTGTTTGTGTCCCCCAAAGTAAAGACATGAATGTAGCAGGGGACTCTTACTATGACAAAATTAAGACACAATTACACCACAAATTGGTGCATAAAAATTCACCAGACTGCAGGAAATTAAATGTTTGATGTTTAAGTTTTTCTGGTGAAGGACCCCCCCCCCCAAAAAAAAAAAATCCACCATTTCTTCTGTGTGTGTCCCCGGTGCTGAGACTAAACCCACGCCCCTTGAGTCAAGCTGTTTGGATCCCTCTGCACGATTCCAACATTTAGAAGAGGACTTAAAAACAAGACTTCAAACAAAACAAAATTCACAAGTTGTGCATTTGTGCCCCCCACAGTAAAGAGCAAAGGACTTTTACTCTGACAAAATTAAAACCCATTTACACCATAAATTGGTGCATAAAAATTCACCGGACTGCAAGAAATTAAGAGTTAGACATTAAAAATGTTCAGGTGGAGGGACCCCACAAAACCCACCCTTTCATCTGTGTCCCTCTTTTTTTTTTAATTTAAATTATTGCTGGATTATTTCTTAAAAAAAGAATAAATTGAATCATAATTGTTGCATCTGTTAACAATAGAATAACATAAAATCTCCCTCAGGAGATGGTTTAAATTAGGAAATTACCTCTTTAAAATTTACAGCCTAATTAACTGCTCACATTGGACATTTAAAAATAAATAAATAAATAAGATGACACTTATATCCAGTGATGAGTTTAAGGCCATCGTACAGAATGTGGTGACAGAGACATGAGATTGTTTTTCTTGAGAAGCCACGATGTTTAAATAGTTGTTGTTTTATTGTGGATTTTTTTGTATCATATGTTGTATTTGTTGCATTTTGAATGTTTTATTTGGCTGCTATGTGAAAGAGATTTTCAACTTCAATGGGACCTTCTGGATAAATAAATAAATAAAATGACAAACAAAAAAATAAATAACTAAAAATAAACGTTAATTAACGTGTATTTGACTCAACATCCTCTATGATGATAATAAAAAATAAAATTTAAGTGATGCACTAAAGAGGCTCCTTTCATGATCTTTATGTTCAAACAGATGAGAAACTTAATTGACATGAAAAACGTGTTGAGCAGATTTTCTCGCGGGAACAGACGGACTGAGTGTGTGGCCCTGCAAAATAAGGCAATTATAGACATGTATAATTTCAGCGTTACACACACACACACACACACACACACCTGACTTGCCTGTTAATGTAAACCAGCAGATGCCGCACTCACGGTTTTGATCATGGAGACTTATTAATATCAATATTACTGTTACAGTTTCGTCATAATGTCACGCGTTAATAAAAGTGTTTCAGACTCTGAGCTTCTGTCAACACTTATCCAACATGCTGCTTTACAGGCTATTCTTTTGCAATTTCAATATATTAAATCAGCTTTAATATCTCACAGAGCGTCTCAGTCGTTGCATTAAAAATACAGACAGAAGAGTATTTGTCATAAATCTTTGTTTTTATTTTTTTGATCGATTATTTGACGTGATCTTTAAAGTCAGGCCTCAGAGACCTGCAGCTTATTTTAGCCTCTAATTATTTTTCACCGTTGTTTCTAATTTAATTTCTTGGAAAGAAGCACTTTTTAACATTTGGATGAAGTTTATATCTCACTGTAGGCTGCAATTTAGGGCCTAATCAATTATTAAATTAGCGCAGAGATGGTGAAAACCCAGAAACTGGAATTAAAAGCACGTTGGGACATGACAAATCTCTAGATTATCCATATAATAATGGCTGTTTGAATCTGTACAAAATACAACTGAACGCAAAGTTTAAATATTGAGTTTTATTTCTTTCCAGAAAAAAAAAGTAAAGGAAACTCGTCATTTAAATATTTAAACAAAAAGAAGATAATTCATGGTCAAAATAAAAAAGTTTTTTTGCCATAAAGGTGAAAAGGAGAGGGTTTTTTTCAACATATCTACAACATTCTTTGAGTGCAGATTCATCGCTGGAGTAAATCTGCTGAAACTGTCTCTGTTACCTGAGAAAACACGAGTTCAGAGTCGCTGCTGGTTATTCATTGTGTTTGGAGAGGTCCACGGTGCCTCGCTGAGTCTGTAGTTTCTGATACTCCTGGTGTAAACTGAGGAAGTGCGGGGACGCAGCGGGGTGGAAGAGCGCAGGAGACGCGTAGGCAGCGCTGGAGGTCAGAGGAGAGGAGTAGGCACATTGTGCCGGGGAGAAGGCGTCGATGCCGGGCTGCGCCTGGAGGAACGCCTTGGCTGTGAGCGCGCTGCGGGAGAAGAAGCTGGAGAGGGCCGGCAGGATGCTGCTGACAGGTGGGATGGTGGCGGGGGCGCACGGGGAGTGCGCGTGGTGATGGAGGTAGGGGTAAAGCTCCAGGCTGGGCAGCTGCAGAGCCGCGGCGCCGATCCCGTACGCGCCGTGCGGGAAGCTGTGCAGCCCGCTGGGCTCCAGGTGCTGCTCCTTCAGCGGGTCGAAGCGGAAATGCTGCCGCTTGAAGCGCTTCCTCCGCCGCAGGAAACTCCCGTTCTCAAACATGTCCGAGGAGTTTGGATCCAGCGTCCAGTAGTTGCCCTTCCCGGGGTTCCCGGGCTCTCTGGGCATCTTTATAAAGCAGTCATTGAGCGACAGATTGTGTCGGATAGAGTTCTGCCAGGCGGGAAACTTCTCCCGGTAATACACGAAGCGGTGGCTGATAAAGTCACAGATCTCGCTGAGGGTGAGCCGCTTCTTCGGACTCTGCAGTATCGCCATCGTTATCAGCGCGATGTAAGAGTACGGAGGCTTCACCGACGCGGGACCTTTGCTTTTAGCAGGAGAAGGACACGCCGGGTCGGGACTGTACGCGTCCCCCTCTTTGCTCTGTCCGCTGGAAGTCTCGGTGCTGCGCGACTCATCCAAAGGTAACAGCTGCTCCTCTGCGCTGTCTTTGAGTCCTTCCCCTACTACGTCGATAACAATATCCTCCATGATGTCCAAACCCAATGTCATAGTAGATGTCCGCGGGTGAAGCCAACACCACCTGCCAACAGGTGGGAGAGTGACAGCGCTGCTCTTAAACGCGATGTCCAGATTTTTACGCACGACTCATCTCCATTCACAAAAAAAGAAGTGGAAAAAAACCCCGAGCACAATCCTCCTCCTACTTCTCCAAAACTCCTTCCAGACTCCTCCAAACCGCACGCGCTGATATCCTTTATTTTAATGCCTTTAAGCGCAACAGAGCGGTCAGCGAGTGATTGTGCGTAAAAGCGTAAAAGTGTGCACGTCCTCCGAGATGTCCAGCATCATCTGTAATCTCCGCTGCTTTCCTGTGGGTCGGGTGGATGTGATGTCACGTCGAGGCACGAGGAACAGGATCCTGACCAATGAAAACGGCGCAAAGGGTACCAAGAAGGCCGATACCAGCCTCCCAGGCACTCTCATCATCGGCGCGTCGGTGCCAAGTCGACGCGGACATCAGAGATCTGCTCAGTGAAAACATCCTTAAGAGCAGGAAATCAGAAGAGGGCTATTTTTAGAGGGGAGCCAGTGTTTTTGTTCAGGGATTTGAGGGTTGACTCCAGAGTGTCAAATTGTTACAATAACTACGAATTTAAGAAAGACAAAATAAAACAAGAAGGATGGTTGCAGCAGTGTGCGTCCACCAAAAAACATTAACTTTTTCCTGAAGTCATGATCCCTTTCCAAAAAATGATTTAGTTTAGTTTTTATTTCTTAATTTTGCTCTTATTAACTTTTTATTCTGTGTAAAAAAAAATCTTGAGAAATATTTTTAAAATTACTTTTTTTCATTTTATTTCCACCCAAAAACGAAGAGGGGGAAACTGTTTGTGCCACGCTGATTGAAAGTGCTGATAAAGAACCATAAACACACATTTTAATTTCCAAATAAGATGATAGACACGCTGGTGACATCAGATCACCATCCTGAATTTAAAGACTGAGGGGGGAAATCCCCAAACGCTTCTCTACGCGAGGCAGGGACTTAAGCCTTAATCCCCCTCGAGGGCTCCTGCAGCCGCTCTTTACGCACACACTTGACGCGCAATTACATGTTTTCAGACAGAGGATAAAACGCGAATGATGGATTCTGTGCTGCTGAGAAAATAATAATTTGTCGCCTGCACGGTGACTTCTCTGATTTTTTTTTGTTTCTCTAAATTCAAAGAAGTCCGGCTTCTCTGAGATTGATAAATCTCACCATGTGTGAAATGGAGAAGGAATAATATTTGTCGTGCAGTGTGAATAACCCGGGTTAGTAACTCTACTCTCTCTGTTCTCCATTTAAACGCGAGCCTATCAAAGTCCTCCGTAACCCCGTCAGATTATCCTCTTTAATAATGGGCAGCTGAGAGCAGGACGGTGATATTGGGATGAAAGTAATAGATTTTCACTTGCGCAGACATAAAAGAGGAGTCAGGAGAGGAGGGCGCTTTTGGTATTGTTGGGAGGCCTCTGGTTGTTTGTGTTTAATGATGGAGCCCTTTGTTGGGGATTCCCACATTTCCTGCCTCTAATCGTATTGATACCTCGGGGCAGAGGGGGACTGGGTCCGGACTGGGTGGGCTATACGGTACCAGCAAAGCTGCAGATGATTTCCCCAAATTCATCACGCATGTCTTCAGATTGGAAACAGGCCCCGTGCGCGTTGTGTGGTTTCAATAAGGCGAGAGCGGGAGCGTCAAATCACCAGAGGAGCTGAAGGTATGGCATCATCTGAGCTCCGGGGACAAACTCAGGGGACAGTGGACACCAAACTGTCCTGCGCAGATGCACCTAAATGCTTCCCGATGTTAAACCTGCAGAAATGGCCTCCAGTTTTTATTTCTGGTAATTTTATAAAATCCCCATCATAAAAGACACGCGCCATTAAATCCAGGCTCTCAGTCTGAGGTGTTTTTCTTCAGTTCTTTTTATATATAAAAAAAAAGCAGAAATATGGAAACGTTCAAATCAACAAGGCCTATTTTACCCATTACGCACACATCTGAACAATAACAAAGCTGCTATCTAACACAAACGTCCATTGTGGAGATCTTATTTGTTTTGCACCGCAGATGAAGAAGTGGGAGAGCGCAGCAGTCACCGAGGACTCGGTGTAATAACACGATTTGGCAGGAACTAAACAGGCCTGTGGGATCTCACTGGATCACTCTGGATAAATGAACCTACATCCATGCGGGTCACAAACCGGGTTAGATGGAGCTGTTCCGGGCTACTTCAGTTGAAATGTTTTCTTATCTCGGTGAAAACTTGAAGCCGTTCGCATGATTCACGGAGCGATAAAAAGCCGGAGCGTGTTTTTCATTGGGAGAGGCTGAGGCGGCTTCAAAGAGGCTGAGGTTGTTTTCACATCATGCCCCCCTCTCTCATCTTGATCCCCTTAAAATCTTGGCAGCGCACTGGACAATAATATAACGTGTAATTTAAGGTATCATGAATCATAACTGCATGAAACGGAGTCAGACAACGGAGAGGTGCCGAGCCAAACACACACGCACGCACGCACGCACGCACACACACACACACACACACACACACACACACACACAGAGTTTAGGGGGGGATACATGTGTAAATTTCACGAGCTGAACTGGTCATTAACGCGTTATTTATGAGCTCCAGAACACATGACGCGATGAAACCTGTTCTCTCTGAGTCTCATCATCTCTTTGTCCTCCTGTCTCAAAACTACTCTTCCTCACTGATCTTCGTGTTGTGTGGAGCCGTTTATGAGCAGTGACACATCTGTATCTGCAGCCCGATCAATCACAGGAGGGAGGCACTGTGACTGTGTGGCGCCATCTTGTGGCGAAATAGTAAAAAGCCTGGGTCAATTTCACCAACACTCATGGATCTGACTTTCACATTCTCTTTATGGTAATTCAGGTTGTTGAAACACAGAGGAGAGCAGGTCAGTTGGGACATTTTGGTATCGACATGAAGTAACCTTCTATTACTCATAGACTACTTGAAAATTATTTGGTCCCAGAACAGGTACAGGTAGTGAAGGGAACACTCAAAGGTCGCAGTCTAACACCAAGTCAGTTAAACATCAGGGATATCAATGTGTCCAGCTCCTCCAGGATGGCACACCCATGGATCCATGGAGCTGGACAGGGCCGTAGAAGGGCACCAACCCAGCAGCAGGACCGGTATCTGCTCCTTTGTGTGAGGAGGAACAGGAGGAGCACTGCCAGAGCCCTACACAATGACCTCCAGCAGGCTGCTGGTGTGCATGTTTCTGACCACACTGTCAGAAACAGACTCCATGAGGGTGGCATGAGGGCCCCACGTCCTCTAGTGGGACCTGTGCTCACAGCCCAGCACCGTGCAGTTCGACTGGTATTCGCCAGAGAACACCAGAATTGGCAGGTCCGTCATTGGTGCTTCGTTCTCTTCACAGGTGAGAGCAGGTTCACACTGAGCATGAGAAAGAATCTGGAGATGCCGTGGTGAACGTTATGCTGCCTGTAACATCATCCAGCATGACCAGTTTGAAGGTGGGTCAGTGATGGTCTGGGGAGGCAGATCCTTGGAGGGTCACACAGACCTCCATGTCAGAGCCAACAGTACCCTGACTGCTGTTAGGTACCAGGACGAAATCCTCAGAGCGATTGTCAGACCTTACACTGGTGCAGAGGGCCCTGGGTTCCTCCTGGTGCAGCGGGCCCTGGGTTCCTCGTGGTGCAGAGGGCCCTGGGTTCCTCGTGGTGCAGAGGGCCCTGGGTTCCTCCTGGTGCAGCGGGCCCTGGGTTCCTCCTGGTGTAGAGGGCCCTGGGTTCCTCCTGGTGCAGCGGGCTCTGGGTTCCTCGTGGTGCAGAGGGC